GTCCTCCACAACTAGACTGAAAACCAAAAATGACAGCAACTTGTCTGTTCCCCTTCCCCCAATTCCCCAGTGCTGTTCATCCCCCCAATTCCCCAATAAAAATCTTTAAAAAAAAAAATTAGCTATTGGAGTTAAAATGGCTTTTTAATGTTTCATAAGTTTTCTGAGTTCTTTATACTGAACTCGCATCACTCTCATAATTAGAAAAAAATTACAAACAAAATTTTAAATTAATTTTAAAAACTTTAAAATGTGGCCATTCAGACTGCCCCCAGAGGTCCGGAAACCTGTTGCCCATACCTGGGTGCAGAGCCTCTCCGCCGCTGCTGGGTCCCCGGGGTCTCCTGGAGGGGTTGGGGGAGGGGCTAGGAGCCCAGAGCTGCTGGGTGCCAGCAGAAATGTAGGCTGCTGGCCGTTTGGGGGGGATGGGTTACCCAACCACAAACACCAGCGTCACAAGTGAGAAGTCGGGATAAATAAAATATTTCTAGAACTGGGAGCAACTACCACTGATAATATAGCTAAACACACAAACACAGAACATGTCATAATGAGAGGACCCTCTTCTGACTCACAGAACGCACCATCGAGGTTGAAAGCAAACGTTTCTGTGAACACACGCAAACCGTAATTTAAAAACGCCTTCACTTTAGGCCCTGTCATCACCCTTTAGCATAAAGGCTGACATCACTTTATGACAAACAATGAAGGGAGAACACGTGATCCGCCCCCCCCACCCAGGGACCGGGATCCGGACGCGCTGTGAGCACCCACCTTTCTTCCCATCCCTGCGTCTTCAGGGCCTTCAAGGACTCGTGCAGGACCATCCGCATGAGCTGTGGCACAAAAGGGGCCCGTTAGTGGGGGCACAGCCCCGACTTCCTCAGACACTCCCTCTGCCCGTGGTCACGAGTGTCCCAAACGCACACAGGCTCCCAGAGGATGAAAGGTGGACAGGACACCAAGCCCTCGGGACCCTAGGGCAGCATGCCAGGGTGACCCACCGGGAACCCTGCCCGGGCGCGCAGGCCGCTCCCTCACCAAGTAGAACTTGTCCAGGCGCAGTCTGTCTATGCCCGTCCACTCGCGATTCATGGTCTGCCAGAAGGTCTGAAGGAACAGGTGCTCTGGGGAGGAAAAAAGGGCCAGGGGTCACGGGGGGGCGCAGAGGCCGCTGGGGACGCAAAGTAAAAGCGCGTCAGGATATCATGTCCAGCCAAACTCTGGGGTTCTCAGTTGTGAGGCGGTGCCACGAATCTGGCTTAGAAATGCGGCTACGAAGGACCTCAGGGCGGAAAGCAGAGCTCACCTCCAGCCCCGAACGCAGCCACGTCCTCTGAAGAACAGGCGCAAAGAGCAACGCCACCAGCAGGAGAGGCGGCTGCTCGGGCCGCTTCTTCGCCAGGCCCTCGGGGCCTCCGTGGCTGGGCTGAGGGCCCTGCCTGCCACCCAGGCCTGACCTCGCTCCTGGCCCCACGAGATGCACTCACGCCAGCAAACACAGACCCTCCCGACACTGACTATGCCAGATTCAGGGTGCTACAGCTGAGCTGTGTCCCCCCAACTCCTGTGTTAACGCCCTAGCCCTCCTCCCTGGAATAGACTTTTTTTGGACACAGGGTCTTGAATGAGGTGATTAAGATAAAATGAGGTCACTGGGGTGGGTCCTAGTCCCCTCTGACTGTGTCCTTGAGAAGAAACCAGGACACAGACACACAGAGGGCCCACGTGAGGACACGGGAGACCACTGCTGTCTACTGCGCAGGAGAGGCGGCGGGAGGAAGCAGCCCGGGGCAGCCCTCCCCTCCTGTCACAGGTTTCTCCGAGGGTGCGCAGGTGGCTCGCTGACTCACTGCAGCGCTGGCAGGGGAGGCTCTGCACTCGGCCTTCCGCTAAGCACAGGCCCTCTTCGGTGGGGCCACAGGGGGCGACATCGCCCCCACTGATTACTCCAGTGCAGTTAGAGGCCCGCCCAGGGGAGAAAGCAGTTCCCTGACTGCCCGCGCACCCCGACTGACTCCTCTGCCCACTTAAGTCTATCTGAACTGAAGCCACCCACACAGCGTAAGCACCACCAGCAGGGGTCCCAGTGTCCATGCCAGTGATGCTGCCAGCCTGGGCTGCCCTCAGGCAGCGGAGAGAGGTGAAAATGCTGGTGCCCAGGCCCCACCCTCAGAGCCTGATTTAACAGGACCAGGGTCTGGACGTCAAGATTTCTACAGATTCCCAGGCGACTCCAATGGGCAGGCAGCAGGGCTGACAACTACTGATCTTGGTCAGGACAAAAACCAGTTAGACAAACACGCGGAGGAACTTCACAGCTATCAGTCAAAATTCAGTCAAGCAGCTTAGTAACACTATATACTTTCCATTTCGTTTTAAATACAAGGTACTAGCCCTTTAGACTTTTGAGCTGAGCGTGTTTTGCTGACCAGTGTCCCACCCGAGCACCAGCAGACACCGGCTAGGACGGGGACCTCCCTGGCTCTGGGCCTCAGAGCCCAGGCCTTGGGTGTGTGGCAGCTGACTGACCCTCAGCGGTCTGGCCTCACCGAGGGGCTCGCCATGGAGAGGATACTCACGGGCCTCCGTGGTCTGGAAAGCGTGGATGAGCTGGGCAATGGTCCTTCCTAGTTCCTCCTGTGCAGGAGACAGCAAGACACTCCCTGAATCCCTGAAGCAACGTGGTCTTACAACAGCCAGCAGCAGAATGGCCCACACACTCAACTGTCCACTCATCACAAGCACTGGCTTCCACCGGCTTGTTCAGCGCAGTGTGCACGAGGTCTGCAAGTTACGCCGTGCTGGGAAAGGCCTCCCCTACAGCTGGGGCCAACAGAGCCTCCCAGCCAGGGAGGTGACTGCCCCCACGGCCAAGGCTGAGCCCCAAGCAAGAGGCTGGCCATCAAAGGAGAGGGTGGGGTGGGCAGGATGGGGCAGGACAGAGCAGGGGCCTCAGTGCGCAGCCACCTGACCGGCAGCAAGAGGGCCACCCAGGCCCCTCCCCTGTGAACTCCTCACTGCCTGCGTTCCGTGACTGTCCCGGGCCAAGCATTACCTAGGGCACTTGCTAAACTGACAAGCCCAGAGCCTCCCCCAGGGACTCCGGTTTAGTAGGCGTGGAAGACAGCACAGGAAGCTGCATTTCAAATACCTCCCCCACCACCCCGGAAACCCTCAGGAAGAGTAAACAATTCCCACTCTGAGAAACGCCCTGTGCCCTGCTGGTGGGGTGTAAACAGGGCAGCCGCTATGGTCAGCACCATGGACGGTGCTCAGGAAATTAAGAATAGAATTACAACCCAGCAATTCCTCTCCTGGGTATCTACCCAAAACTCTGAAAACATGTATCCATAAAGATATATGTACCCCTATGTTCACTGCAGCATTATTTACAGTGGCCAAGACATGAAAACAACCTAAGTGTCCTTTGCTAAATGATTGGATAAAAAAGACGTGGTACATATTTACAATGGAACACTACTCAGCCATAAGAAAAGAGGAAATACTGCCATTTGCGACAACATGGAAGGATCCTGAGATTATCATGCTAAGTGAAATAAGTTAGATGGAAAAAAGTCGAGAACCATATGACTTTACTCATGTGTGGGATATAAAACTGAAAGCAACCAACGAACAAGACAGACAAGCAAAAACTCACAGACACAGACAACAGTTTAATGATTACCGGGGGGCGGGGGGAGGGGACAGTGACAGAAGAAAGTAAAGGGGTCAAATAAATGATGATGGAAGGAGAACTAACTCTGGGTGAACACACAATGAAATAAATACATAGATAACGTATTATAGAATTGTGCACTTGAAACCCATATGATTTTACTAACCAATATCACCCCAATAAATTTAATAAAATTTTTTTTTTAAAAATGAAAAAATAAATAAAAAGGCTAGCGTTTTAGGGTAGTGAATCTACTCTGCAAGATACCGACAAGAAGGAGCCATGTCATTAGACATTTGTCCAAATCCACAGCACACACATCCTGATGTAAACTAAGGACTCTGGGTGACGATGACGTGTCAAGGTAGGTCCGTCAATTGTAACAAACGTACCACCCGGTGGGGATGTTGACGACAGAGGAGGCGGTGCCCATGTGGGGGCCGGGGTATATGGCAAATCTCTGTACTTCCCCTCAATTTTGCTGTGAATTAAAACTGCTCTAAGAAATAAAGTCTATTTTTTAAGAAGACAAAAAAAAAATGGTTTCAGGAGAAATCTGCGTCTCAGAAGACTTGGACCCTCCCCCTCGGTTTCCGTCCTGTCAGTGCTCAGTTTGCAATCTCTCACAAACGTAAGACGGATAACACAGGTGTCGCCCACGTGAGGACCTGCACTCCTGGCAGTCACCCGTGTGGCTACGGCGCTCAGCTCAGCGCGTGTAAGACCCCCCCTAACCCAAGGCCCGGGGCTCTGGGGGCGGGGGGGCATCGAAGCTGTAAAACTTTGCCCGTTGTCATTTTCAACTACATACATGACTGCCAGGCCCAAGCACACGCCCATCTGCCCTGCGGACACTGCTGCCCCCGCTTCTGCGGCTCCTTCCCAGACACTCACCTGGAGGAGTGGCTTGTCCTGCATCCACATACAATAGAACAGTCCTTTCCAGACCTTCAGCAGCTCGTCATGCGTGAAACCACCTGCACCAAAATACAGCAACACTCAGGCCAAGTGACCCCGACTGCTTCGTGCCAGGAACGAAGGCGGAGGAATGTGACTGCCTGAACTAACCCAAGTCCTTTACTGTGAAGGCACACGGCCCTCCCCGCTGAAGCCACCCTAACTCAGAACCCGCAGCACCTGTGGCTACACCCCAGGTAACGGCCATGTTGTTCACTCAATGAACACTGAGAATCTACAAGTGTCAGGCGCTGTACTCCAATTTTTGGTGATTCAAAATTGAGTGAGTTGCCACTTCCTGAGCTGGATGGTGGCTGCACAGGTGAATTTGGTGATAATTCATCCCATGCGACACTTGGCGTTTGTGCACTTTTCTGTGTGATGCTTCGTTTTTAAAAGAAAAACAACTTGTCAGGCTGGTAAGGGAGGAAGATAAATAAAATCGCTCGAAACACTGACTGAGCTCCTAACTATGTGTCTGGCACCGTATTCCTGGAGCAGCGAGTGGTTCCCAGACTTTAGCTCTGGTATGCGAAGAACCTGGAGGGCTTTTGAACTCACAGCTTGACGACTTTACATCCAGTTTCTGCTTCAGCAGGGCTGGGATGGGACCAAGAATGTGCATTTCTAACTAATGTCCAGGTGATGCTGAAGCTGCTGATGGGGGACCCACACTTTGGAACCACTGTTATAGAGGCCAGTTAACAAAAAGCATTTCCTCTGCCCTCGCGAAGCGTCTCCCACAATGAAACTCAAACGACAACCCAATCATTCCACGAGGAGAACGACACAGCGACAAATGCCGCGGCGGGGCGGTGGGAAACACCGGCAGCAGGCCAGCCCGGCCACGTGGAGGCTCCACGCTGTTTTGAGGCCACCCAGCCCGCCGCTGCCACTACCGCTCCCCGGCTGCCCCGCACCCCCTGGCGGGCCCGGCCTCCGAGGCGCCCCATGCCTGGCAGGGCCCCGAGGCTCCCCATGCCTGGCACGGCCTCCGAGGCGCCCCATGCCTGGCAGGGCCCCGAGGCGCCCCCTGCCGGTCCCGGTCCCCGAGGCGCCCCATGCCTGGCAGGGCCCCGAGGCTCCCCATGCCTGGCTCGGACCCCGAGGCATCCCAGCGCACACCGCGCCAGCCAAGCGCCCACCTGCGGCTGGCTGAGTCCTGGCGACGATGTATTTCCGGAGCTTCCTCACAGCCCGGTCCCGGGTCACCTGCTCGTTCCCCGCCAGGCGCTGCGCCAGCTGGATCTCAGGGGGGAGTTGCACACGTGAAACCATAGCGACCGCAGCTGAAAGCCCCCTACCCAAGGCCCCGCCGTTTCGCCTGGGCGCGCGGTGTGACGTCACGCGACCGCGCCAGCCTCTTCCAGACGCGCTGCCTGACGTAGTGCTCACGCGCCGGCCTCGCCAGGACCGCACGCCACCGCCGCGTAGTGGCCAGACCCCGCAATGACAGCGCTGGACAGTTGTCATTAAAGGGAGGTCGTTAAGCTTGTGCCCGCCTTTTAGGAGGGCTGTGGTTCAACCTGACTGACAAGAAAAGGCTCTTCTTTAGCAAAGAATGCCAGCAAGCACAGGCAGAAGGAATGGTAAAATTTCAGAAAACTCTGTGCAGCCCCCAGTGAATCTTTGATTCAGGCGAAGGTCATCAGAAAATGGCACAAGAGCTGGAGAAAGGTGGTCAGTGACAGGTTTTGCACATGTAGCCCAAATGGCCTGCCACCGCTGGCAGCCTACCTCCACTTTCCCCCACCCGTGCAACAGCATCACCTGTGGGCAGTCTAACCTGACCCTCATCCAGCCCGCACCCCGCTCTCAGGACACAGAGGAAGACTGTGCATGGTGCACTTTAGAAGACGATCACCACCCTGGAGCTGGGACAGGCCACAAGACAACGGTCCTGGTCACTTCACGAAAGTTAATGCCATGGACGAAGGAATGGATGAATGCATATGTAAAGGGGGGAGTGCAATATACAAATCTTGATTGGATCCTGGTTCAAAGAAAAAATTGTAAGTCATTTGGGGGCATTTGGAGAAGCTTGCATATATNCAGCGAAGGGCTCTGGTTTAGGAACAGCAGTCAGGTACGACCCCCCTCCACCCCCCACCTCCATCTCCAGTATAGCTGTTTCCTTACTTGATGAACAAGGGATGCCAACAGCCAACAAAGGCCCCCACAGAGAACTGCCTCCTGGGGTCCCTGCCAGGGAAAGGGGGGGCTCTGCACTCAGCCAGGTCACTGCACCCCTACTGAGCTCTGGCCACCAGCAGCTGGTGCTGGACGTCCTTGTAAGTGGCGCTGAGATGGGACTGTGAGCTCAGCTCACTGTGCTGCTCCCCAGCCAGCCCAGCCTGCGCCAGGCCACCACCCGCCACCAGCTGGACAGAAAGGAGGTCCTCAGAGCACTGGTTCCCCGTTGGGGCTGCTCACATGCAGCCGGGCTTTGGGAACTGGGGTGCAGATCAAGCCTTTGGGGGTCCTCCCAGGCCGGGCTCACCCACATGACTGCACCCAGCAGTGTTGGCTGGGGTGCCCATGGAACACAAAACGTGGGCTAAACCGAGACAGCACACTGTCACCTGTGGAGCCCTCAGCCATGGCTGCAGCACTGCCTGGAAGCCACCAGGGACCCCCACGGCACTATGTTACCGTCCCATTTCCCTCCTAATTGAGATTCTGGGGCCAGGGCCTCCTCACAGCACAGCCACTCCAGTGGGTGCCCCTCCGGGCGCTGCCAGCCAGGTAAACACAGAGCTGGAGCTTAATTCGAAGACGGCAGGTCCCCTTCCTCCTCCGTGTCCCAGAAGACACCCTTCCGGCCTTGGGCACTTTAACCCCAAGTGATGGGGGCAACACAGCCCTGCTGACTCCCAACGCAAGTTTACAACATGGGGAGTTACAGAGCCTGGCCAGGCACACTGCCAGCACTCGGCGTCCTCTTTTAGGTTTTGTTTAAGAAACATAAGTTTTCTACAAAAAAGGGTAAAAATATAAACACTGCTCGGACACTGGCACGTGTGTGAGCGTGCAGAGCAGGGCGCCGTTGCTAAGAACGTGCAGGTTTTACCCTTGGCCGCCCGCCAGGGCCAGGGCCCCGCGGGGAGGGCAGCCTGCGGGAGATGCACGTCTGAGTCCCCCAGCGGCCCGAGGTCACACAGCTGCAGCACGTTTGTGGACACCCTGGTCTGGTGACCTATGTCGGGGTCTGGGGAACGTGGACCACCCCACGTAGGTATTGGATTAAATAAAATTTATCAAAATTAATTTTACTTGCTTTAACATGGCTACCAGAGGATTTAAAGTTGCGGGGGCCCGCCACGGCGGCCCCTCACACTTCTGTCCTGCCCTCCTTCACGGGGCGCAGGCTGGGCGGAGCCGTGGAGATGGCCCGGCCCTGCCCGATGGGCCCGGCGGATGTCACTTCTTGCTTTCCTGCGTCCGCTTCTTTCTCATCTCTGGCTCCTGGCGGCCAGTCACCTTCGCTCTGGCCCCCGCCCGAGGTCGCTGCCGCTTCTTGCGAGCCCCTCTCCTGCCTCGGCCCCCAGGCTGCTCCTGGGGTGCAGTGGGGTCAGGCGTCACGCCCTGCCTTGTGCTCCCGGACCCAGAGCTCGGGTCTGCGCGTGGGTCCTCCTGTCCACTTCTCCCTGAAACAGCGAGGCCACATGAACGAGGCACCGTGAAGGCCAGGTCACTTCACTTCAGAGCTCTGATGAAGGTGCCAGCCCCGGGGCAGCAGAGGACACACGGGCGTCTGACACAGAAGCACCCACGGCCCCGCCCCAGCAAGGATATGCTGGCTCCTAACACCGGAAGGCAGACTCAGAGAGCAGCTGGAGGGCAGGGTCGGGGCAAAGGAGTGGTGGACAGGGGGGGCGGGCCTAGGCTCAGGGCGTGTGGGGGCTGGAGGTGGCGCTGTCACAAGGGACCAGCTGGCAAGCAAGGACAGGAGCTCTGACTCAGCTCGGTGCACGTGACAGCCGCAAGGGCCCAGGTGTGACGTGATGTGGATGGACGTGGCCTGGGCCGCAGCAGGGGTGATTCCAGAGACCCTTCCCAAGGCAGATCCCCAGGACGCGGGGCCTGTTTAGAACATGTCAGATGACGGGGGACGCCACCATCTCTCCCTTCTCTGCCTTCCCTTCCAGCCACGGGCGCTCCCACCCCAGCCCTTCCTGGCACTGTGGGCCCCATCTCCACTGCTGCAGGCAGCCTGGGGTGTGACAGGAGCACAGGGTGTCCTCAGAGGGCTGTCACACTCTCAGCACCGTGTGGATCAGCTGGGGCGAGGAGGGAGGGAGGGAGTAAAGGCTGAGTTACCAAGGAGAGCACAGCGAGGAGTGCCCTGAGCAGGAGCGGATGGTCACACCCACCAGAGGCACACAGGTCAAGGACGGAAAAGCGTCAGCCCCACTGCTGGAGGGCGGGGAGGAGGGGTGCACGCTGGAGGCCGGCCTGGGGGCAGTGGCAGGCGTGTCCCCGTCACACGCAAGGCCCACCTGTCTTGTTCTGCAGCCGGCGTTTGGGCAAACGCTTCCTGGTCTTCCTGCCTTCTTGGAGCTTCCTGTGGGCTTTTTCCGGGATGTCGTCCTCAGGGAAGAGGCCTGAGAACCGAGGCAGACGACCAGGGCTGAGGGCAGGCCTGGCTCCGCGGGCGCCCTGCCCGGGCTTCACGCAAGGAGACCCCGTCTAACACCTGCCACAGCTCAACAGGCTCGAACCCGTCAGCACGACACACGGCAGAGCCGGCTCCTGGGGCATTCACGACGCATCGCGGTCCACTTCCTAAAAACCTTATGCTGAGGACGAGAGCTTTCTGGGCAATGCTAGTGACCCGTATGCTGACGGGGTTCAAGTGACACAGGTCTGTGCACTGGTCAAACCCACCCGAGGCACAGTGTCTATGCGTTTCACTGTACACGAATTTCACCTACAAAAGGCTGGACTTCAGTTCACGGTGAGCATGAAGTAAGTTGGGGTACAGTCTCATGGATGGGGGCAGGGCCCACTGGGTAGGGAGGTGACAGACTAGGACAGTCAAGTGTTGATGGCAGAATCAAGGTGATTGCATATAAAGGTCCTCACAGTAAAAACCTTCAACTGTGCCACGTGTCAAAATTGTTACAATTAAATGTTGGGGGAAATGCTACATCTCCAATCATCCACCTTCCAGAAACTGTCCTACAGAATAAGCCGTACCAGCTCCATCAGCCCTGCACCAAGACGTGGAGATGTCTGCAGCCCAGCAGCCTTAGCAGCCTGGAACTTACTGGAAATGCAGCCCCTCGAGCCCACCTGCCCTGGGCCCAGCGTGGAAGCAAAGTGAGCCACACAACCCTGGCCCGCCCGTCTCCCAGGAGCTGCGGCCTCTGCAGACGACTCATGCCATGGCCCGCCCCCCCC